TTATGCCTGTGGCGAATGTTAAAGTGCCTTTGGCTAAGGATATAACTATCTTGATTGTACAGATATCAGAATCGAAAATTACCGAAATCCAAGAATTGAGATCTGAAGATAAATGATATATAGACTTAAGGAAAATATAATATTTTTTTAAAATTAATAGTAGAGTATAAAAATATAAATAACTACAATTTATTATTATTAATTAAAATGGAATAAAATACAAAAAATAATCTATGCATAAAGTATATAAATATAAAATGTATTATATTTTCAAAATAGATATAGTTCTACGATTTATCGATATATGCATTTAACGTCTCTCAAACCAAATTTTGAACATAAGGGGACTCCATATATTACGAGTTTAGGGTATTCAACTTGAGGGGAGCACAATGAATGGATATTTTACGAATTAATGAGTTTACTTCAAATGGGGACAGCAGTATTTATGAATTATTGAGGCTCTCAACTTAGCGGGAGACAACTTGTCGTGACTCGTTTGTGAAGGCTTATATTATATAAATACAAATCAGCTTTCATTAAACACTTCAGCTCAAAGTGGAAGCATAAGTACATATGCTATAGAGCTCAGATCAGCGCATCAGAAAATTTACCACAAAAAGAAAAGCTGATTGCATCGAATTTATGCGAGCTCAAGAAAAACTGCGCCGGAATTAATGCAGTAAATTCTCGAGCTCAGAATAAAAGCGATTTATGAAGCATCAATTGGCTGGCTGGGGCACTTTTGTGCTGCTCCTTGCATCAGCTTGCTGACCCAATTAACAGCATCTTTCAGTGACAATTTAAAGCTCTTGCAATAACAGAGAACACTTGCAGCACACACACACACACACACACACATGCACACACTCACACACACATACAGTGAAAAGCAATGCATAATATGGGTCATTAGCTCTGAGTGTGTTGCACGTGCAGCACTTGCCACGCCCACTTAATTGCCATTAATTACATTTATTTCATCGATGACTTACTCGAGCTGCCAGCTGCCAAGAGGTGAGGCAAAAGCAACAACAACAACAACAAGTGTAACGGCAACAACAAGAAATGCTCGCTTCATTGAAGCATAATTAACTGCAAGTTTTCACAGCGACTTGCAACATTCGGTTGCACGTTGCAAGTGCAGCTGACAGCCGGAACAGCAACAGCAGCAGCAGTAGAAAAACAAAGCCATTCGTAATATAAACCAAATTCGATAATAATATAGACCGGACAGCTAATCGGATAATGATTAAGCAAATGCATAATGTCTTAGTGTGTGTGTGTGCGTGTGTGTGTGCTTGTGAGACCGCCCGTTGACAGCGTGAAATCAGCACGTGTATTGAGTCAAAGGCGAACGCGTACACGGCTCATTAATCACATATCCAATTACGAGTACATTATTCCAATTCCATACTTACGCGCGCACATAAGATAGCGCACATAAGAAGGCGGCGGAGGAGGAGTGGCAAGTGTGAGGGTGGGGGACTGTGGGCTGTGGGCTGTGGGCTGTAGCATACCCCTTTCTACTTTGAGGCGGGTTTGTTCATTAGAGACAGGGCGCTTTTAAGGCCATGCGATTTCACTGTTTACCCGCGCGCTAATTGTAAATGGCAATCAGGGCGGCGCCCTGATCCGCTCCAGAACAAGACAAAGCCAACTGTCGAGTCGAGTCGAGCCGAGGCGAGGCGAGTCGAGTCGACTCGAGTCGAGTCGAGCTGAGTGGCGTTGTCTAAAGTCGCTGCCTGATTGCGCCAATTGGCAAGCGCCCGGGCACGCACGACTGACTCATACAAACTTGAAACTAAACAAGTGAGCGTGCTCTCTGCGGAAGTATATGCCTAAGAGATATCCTGAACATCTCTTCCAATTGCTAGTTCCGCTAAGGAACTGTGCTCTCACCTGAACTTAACGTAAGATAAAACTAATATTGGTTTAGTAATAGTAGTAGTAATAGTAGAATCGACTATTAGAATTCATATTTTATTAAAATTAATGATTAATTTAGGAATCGATATTAGCTTACTTAGTCTCTAATATCCAGCTTAGTGCCACAGCTGTATTTAATAATTTATTAAAATTTATGTACAAAATACTATTTCATGAATCGTCTACGTCTATAAAAATAATTAAACTAAAATAAAATAAAAACCTATGCATATGCTGCGGGGCCTGCAGTTTCATAGCTATACAAATGTTGTTTAATGATTACATGATATATTACATATACATATGTAACCTATGCTTGTACTCAGCCATGCTTAAGAAAACAAACTCTATACTCTATACCATTTACCATACCATATACAGCCCTTTGGAAACCCGACTTTACATTTGTCTACAGTTAACATGTGTAAATATATATCAAATCTCAAGTCTCTAACATTTCTGCTTTACGAGTTCAATGAGCTCACACAGAGTGAAGATCGGAGAGTCAAGGAAACAGAGGAACAAGCGATCATGGCCCTTCTAAAGTGCTCTTAGTCAAGAATATTCATATGTACAGTAGAAGCCGTTTATAACGACTTCGCTTATAGACTACGTACGGTTAATTTGGCAATAATTCTGGTACCCAGACAAACTTAGATATGTAAAGATAGCGTTCTCTTGGTATAACAACGGTCTCTTGAACACCGTTATAACCAGATTGTACTCTATGTGTATTTGATCGTATTCTATCAACTTCACTTTCATTCACATGCTCCATACATACATTTCAACAAAACCCATATACCCCGTTTGGCTCAATTTCACTGGGTATAACAAGAGAAGTACTCGCATCTCAGCGCAAAGGCAGCCAACCAGGCGGGCTGGGCGGGCTTGGCGGGCTTGGCGGGCGAGTCGTGGCAGCTGGCAACGCACAAAGATAGGCAAGGACTGTGCTGATGTTACGAAACGGTTAATTTAGACGGCAATGACAACGGCAACAACTCGAACAACAACACGAACAACAACATGAACAGCAACAACAACAAACGATTTCAGCTCGAAAGCTGTCAGCACAAACGGAGGCAGCTTCGCCATTTGCATAGGGGCGTGTGTGGGTCCAGGATCTGCAATTGAAATTGTCAATTGGATGGGATGGGGTGGGGTGTGGAGTGTGGAGTGTGGAGTGCGGGGTGTCTGGGGTAGATGGCATGGTGTTAGGGTTAAGAGATGCCTGGTAGCTGCCAGCCGCTTTACAGCTAGCTGGCTTTTGCAACTCTGTTGCCGTATAAAACATTTTTTACTGTTTGCACTTGGAGCTGGAGCTGCTGGCAAATGCTTAGAATTTAATTAGCCACGCCATCCGATTATGGTCCATTCCAGGCAGCGAGCATGAAATTACATTTACCTCTTGGCCAAATTTAACGCAATACAATATATGCCACA